CTGTTACCTAAGAGATCTATGAGGTTTGCTTCAACAAACTAACAGATTTGTTATATTAAACCGTTTGATTTTTTATGCTATGAACACATCAAGGTTATGTTTGGTTCAGCTGCTAGAAGTGCTTGTTCCGCAGCACCATGGACCCTGCTTCCGGCTTTCGGTCTTTTTTCCAAATGGGTGAAAACAAACAGAGGTGTCTACCTGTTGTGAAGTTTTGAGGGGCGAAGGGTGTGCCACACAGCGCACGCAAGTTCCAAGCTAAGCTCAGCCAAGCCTTGGCATAGAGTGAGCGTGACGTGCACGTGCATGGACCGAGCTGCGCTGGGCCATGACACGTTGTGGTGCGGTGTAGGCTTGGTTTTGGCACTTTGGCTATTATGGGAATAATTGATGTGACAGTTTCTGTCCATTACTCTCTACGATTACTCTGTCCTGTAAAATTGCAAATCGCCAACGTGGTAACACAGCCGTCCAGGTGCATCCTCCTGACACACTGGATCCTCCCTTTTCTAGCACATAAGTATGATAGTCCTTCTAAATCCTCGCGTGAATGAGAACACCAGATGCACACACTCTTCTCCTTGTTCATGTAGCAACCTGAGTAGTCCCCATCCCAATCTCCTGCGTGAAGAGTAGGTTGGAAGAGCATGCCCTCTGGAATCGACGGCCGTCTACGCTGCTCGCGTGTGCGAGCGAATTTGATTTTTGGATAGTGCACCGCGCGATTTATTTGCACCTGTTCCCAGTGACCAATACTTGTACGACGTCTTCTTCCTCGTGGCCACCTCATAACGAGACTTTGTCGTCTACTTCCTGGTGGATGTTCGTGAGACTGTACTGCGAACATCTCTACCTGCATCATCTGTGGTTCACTGCATAAGCAACGCTCTATATGGACTAGTGCGAATGGCACCGTCGATGCCTCCGGCACTGGTCCCTCGCTCTATAGGGTTTACTTCTATTCATACAAGATTAATTATATTCAGTAGTGTTTCTGTTATGATCAGTATGATCATATTTGTGAAAGCGAGTATGTCACAAGAGCATCTATCTGTTGTCACAAAATTGTTATTTCTCTTGATTAAATTATCCCTGAAATATCTAAACATTTTTAGACGAAAGAAGAATTTTATTAAATTATAGCTAAGTACATCATCTTGTTACAAGTACTCTAGAGTATAATATATATACCTAGAAATTGTTCTTCATCTATATTGTACTCACGCTTCGTATAGCTCCGAATCTCAATCCCAAATCTGTATGACGATTCATATGGATGACAATACAGGTAAACACTCAGCAAAATGCCTGGGAATAGGTGCCCAATGAACGGCGGAATTGAGCATAAACTTCTTCTTTCTTATGTCTTTCTTCTTCTTCCTTCTGCCACCGAAGAATAAGAAACCCGATCTCAATCTTCCCAACTTAATACCATTAATCGGCTTGAGGGGCAGATTATTCTCACTACTCCTTCATCATGGTCAGATCTAACCACAATAAAACAGAGAAGAAACTGGAGAAAATTATTCCATGGCGGCAACATCGTCTTTGCCTTGACGTCGCCGTCCGGAAACCTAATTCTCCATGTCATCATGCCGAGGAAGTTGCTGACGCTGTAGTTGTCGCCCTCATCTTCATCAAAGTCGCCACGGAGAAACCAAATCCACCCAACCTCTTCGCCTTTGCCGGAAAACAGGAGGAGACAAATCCTTGATACCAAAAAACTTCGTATACAGAGACACTAACTCAACAGGACTCGATCTATTGTAAAACTTATTAGAGAGATGGATCCCCACTCCCTCCAGCCTAAGGCGAGTTGTCGAAGAGGGAAGGGAGGGGGGGCGGCGGTGGTGGAGGCGGGGCTGGGCCAGCGGCGGCGGTGCCGGGGCGGCCTCGGCTGCACCCTAGGGGCTCCCAATGAAAGAGTCCGTTCGAGGCTGTGAATTCGTTTATCACCACGCATTGAAAAATTATCTAATTAAACATCTAACATAAACAGCATAACATGGAACAGTACGAAAGAACCATGCATGGGAATCTTTTTGCCATCTATGCTTTTTTAGACAACTTTACAATCAGGTCTGCCAGTTCAAATATGATTTTCTCCAAAGTATAACCGTCAAAGACCTTGTTCAACACCGAAGACGTACAATCCCTCGCGTTGTGATTGTAACAATTTGGCGAGCCTGATATAGCAGTGCGTAAGGGGGCTCTCCATCCTGGCGTGCGTGAAGTCGCAGCGGGACAGCCGGTGGACCAAGCTCGCCGTGAAGCTGCGGGCCTACTTGTCCTTGCAGTAACTGAGGGCTTCCCTCTCATAGCCGGTGAGCTTCCCACCAGCCTTCAGCAGCTGCTTGATGGCCTTCAAGGTACCGTCGTACCTGGGAATGGCGTGCCTCACCGCCGTGAGCACGTAGACGGTGACCTCGGCAGTCTTGGGTGCAGACTTGAACATCTCCCAGCAGATGCACGTCCACTCGGGAATGTCCGTTTTACCGCACACGTCAAGAATTTTCATGGTGGGCACGTTGGGGCAGGCGGCGCCGGCGATGAAGACGAAGGTGGACAGAGTGACCAGGATTATTGCTGGGAGCAAGGTGATAGCGGCGGCTCTCTTCAGGTTTGAAGCTGATGGCTGGTTCATGTTTCTGTTGGGGGACTTCCGGGCCCTAGCTATAAATAGGGAGGATGATTGTCAAATATAAGAAAAATAATCAGTACAACAGATATGCTTCATTAATTTCCAGGAATCCTCACCCATGCAATTTTTGAGTTTGGATTCTTTTGCATTAATTAAAACGACCATGTTTGATACAAATACAAAACATTCTACATGAATGATAACATATCTATCATCAACCATATCTAGCAAAGGATTATGTGCATCTCCAGCATTAAACCCACATTTCCAGCTAGCATTGAACCTCACTCATGCTAAACTAAGAAATATAGGGAGGATGATTGTCAATTTTAAGAAAAATACTCTGTACAACAGATATGCTATGTTTTTTTTAATTTCATAATATGATATCCCTCAACAATATCTTCTTACTGTGAGGAGCGTATCACAGTTGGCCTGCTTGGATCTTGTACAGCTTGGCTGCTAAAAATTAGTTAAGGTCTTGTTTGGATCCATATAGCTAATAAGACAGCTAATATCCAGCCTAGTATTCAGCCAACAATTACCAATTTTACTAATTGATGTTTTCCTAATTAATATAGCTAATAGTAAGTTGGATGACAATAATTATGAATACCATGCAATATATATCAACTAATGGTGATTTAGGTCCTGTTTGACTGATTAGCCACTACCGGAGAAACGACCTTTAGTCATGGTTCCCAACCTCCTTTAGTCTCGTTTTTGGGAACCGGGACTACGTAATCGGGACTAAAGGTCTTGATTTTTAGTCTAGGTGTTTATATAGAGTAAAAAAAAGTAGGGTTGTGGAGATTCAAACTCAAGGCCTCCCACTTCGGCCCCTGCATGCATTGCCATCATAATTCCACCACACATCTGACGTAGATAAGATATGCTTTTCTTTTAAATTCACTCGGGAGGCACCTTTAGTCCCGGTTTGAGACACGAACATGGACTAGTCCAAGTTCATATCTCAAACCAGGACTCAAGCTTTCCGCACTGACATGCCTTGGTAACCGTTACAACCGGGACTATAGGGTGGAATTAGTTCCTATTTATATTACAAACCATGACTCATGGTCCCAGGCCGCCCTTTAGTCCTGGTTGCAATTTTAATCTAGGACTAAATACTTTTTGGCCATCGACGAAAGGTCATTTCTCTACTAGTGAATTGCTAATAATAATTACGTCAAAAAACCACACCTTCGTTGATCGGCTAAAGGCTTGATGATGTTCTTAGAATTACTAGATCTATCTTATCGTCACACATCTTCTTAGCACATCTATTTTGCTTTTGTCCATAGCAAAGTTGCAAAAAAATGTGTCGACACTAATTTTGGGCAACACACTAGTAGAGGCTAGGTCGCGTAAGGTTGAACACAATCTAGATACACAACGGAGGGAGATCTAAACAATGAGGCCGACCAGCAAGTTGACAAGACCAATTCGACACTCGTTCTTCACCCGAAAAAATTCACGAATGCCTCCCAGGAAGACCCCTCAGGGAGACGCGTAGAGGGGGTGACCTAGGATTGGCAAGGCCACCTAGAACACTAATAAATCTCATCACGGGAAGTGTTGGACAGCAAGCTAGGGGGTCGTAAGGGATAGGGTTTGCAGTTAAAAAGCAAAGACAGATTGATTTTTGATGATTGTATAAATGGATATCTCAATCGGACATGATCCTCTATTATAAACAGAGGGGGTGGTTACTTATTCTACGCGACATCTACAAGCTTCTTTCGCACAAGATCGGAACAATTTCCAACAACAAAAAACAAGATTTGGACACAAACAGCCAAAACCAGCTCAGGTTGGTTCTCAAAACTAGCCTAGGCCGGTTTAGATAGTCTATAGTGGGGTCCCTAAAAAGCTGGCCTAGGCCGGTTTTTCTTTTTCTCTAAAAGTTTGTCCGAATTCAATCTCTTTTCATCTCTTTTGCTTGCATGTGATTTTCTTGTTTGATCTTCAACTCCCCCGTCATATTTTAGCTATCAACATTCAACAACGGTGTAGAGATGTTATCATGTGTGATTACTGATTAGCTAGTTAGTTCAACACTTCGACCCAACATCGGAGTGTCATATACCGACAAATTTGTTCAACAGTGTTGAGAACCAGCCGGTCCACACTCACTATTGAACAGACTGCAGAGATAAAAAAAATATATATGGCAGCTAGTTTATTGTTTCATCAGGCTCTCTTATCTGATGAGATTAATCAACCGGAAAATTAGCTTGTCGCACAGCAGAGCAGCATGCATGGAGCCGATTCAGCAAGTATTCAAATGGTCACCGGCCAGAACCAGACATCACATATATATCAACCCAAGATCCATGACGCCAGCTGCTAGCTAGCATTACTGAACGCCCAGCAATTTGCCGAGGAAGTAGGCGAGCACGGCCAAGTTCCGGTCGACCAGGCTCCGGCCGTAGAGCGGCGACGCCGGCAGCTTCATGACGCGGTCCCTGAACCCGTCCACCTGCGCGACGCCGTCCCTGTACACCTGCCCGAGGTCGTCCCCGTCGTCCAGGAACCGGCACCCGACCAGCGCGGCGGCGACGCGGTCCATGGTGTCCGTGGCCGCGCGGTAGGCCTCCTCGCAGGACGCGTAGGCGTCCCTCTCGTCGCCGGGCAGGGAGGCGTTGCCGCGCAGCGTGCCCGCGGCGCGCGCCGTGTCGTCGTAGGACGCGAGCGCGCGCTTGGCGCCCACGAGCGCGTACAGGTCCACGCCGTTGGACGGGTAGGTGACGTCGCGCAGCGCGTCCTTGCAGAGCTCGTACATGAGCCGCGTGCCGGTCGCCTTCTCGCACGCGGCCTCCACGGTAGCAGAGAAACGATTTTGATCCACTTTCGAATTTGGCTTTAGTCTTAGTATTTTTCGTGCTCGAGACTAGAGAAATTTTTAGTCCCGGTTGGTAGCTCCAACCGGGACTAAAGGTCCCTGCCCAACGGCTACTGCGGCAGGCTTTTACTACAGGGGACCTTTTTTAGTCCCGGTTGGAGCTACCAACCAGTATTAAAGGTTAACTTTTACTCCCGGTTGGTACCTCCAACCGGGAGTAAAAGTCTACTCTCGGCTGGAGGCTCCGTCCAGGACTAGAAATAAACCTTTAGTCCCGGTTGCTGTCTCCAACAGCTTATGTTGAATGCGGGACTTCCAAAAATTTCCTTGGCAAAAATTTTACCGCCTCTAACAGTTTCTCTTTCCTATTTTTCATCCTTATCTTCTCAACATCCTCACGCCAGTGCTGCATCTCATCCTCTCTTCAGTCTTCACTCTCTCTCTTCAATCTCCAATCCACCGGTCTCCTTTTCCAAGCTGTGCGCCATTGTGCGAGCCGAGCTGCGACGCCGGCTACACGCCGGCTTGCGCACCGGCCGTGCGGCGGTGGCGTCACGCGGGCCTAGGAGCTGCGTCTCCAGTGAGTTCGTGGCGCAAGCTCTTGCGGCAGCGGCACTCTAGGTGTAGTGGATCTGGCTATTTCCGGCCAGGTGATGTGCATTGTGGTCGCTCTCACGGAGTCCATGCATGCAGCGCTTGCGGCAAGTCATGAAGACAAAGCCCCGTGGAGCCTTGAAGTCGTGCTTGGATAAGTGAGGTAAGTACACAAGTAAAATTCCTAATCTTGTTCGCCAAAACTTTGAAACTTTGTCAGAGTAATGTATTTTTTTTCCTTTATATTCTTGTTGCGGTTGCATGAATGAATGAAACATTTAATGGGAAGAACAAGAAAGATTATTCATTTTTTATGGGGAGATTGGTTAATTCTTTGCGCTAATCCTTCTATGTAGATTGGTCAATTCTTTGTGCGGGGGATGCATCAATGGATTCCGGCTGCAGCGATGAGCTCGCAACCCACAGTGTGTTTGCTAGTAGTTGTTCGCATGGCCAGTGATGGTTTTTGGAAGTCCCGGTTGGTAATACCAAAACGAATCATCAATTGAAAATAGAAACAAAAAAAAAAAAAAAAACCTTTAGTCCCGGTTGGTAATACCAACCGGGACTAAAGGACCGGCCCACGTGGCCAGGCCGGGAGACCTCTTTAGCCCCAGCTGATATTACCAACCGGGACCACCTTTAGTCCCGGGCGAGAAATCGGGACTGAAGGGGTTTCCCAACCAGAAGTACAGCTTGTTTCTATCTTGTGTCATGGAGGGGACGTCGGGGCACGCGGATACGGGAGGAATGGGGTGGTGGATGAACGCGGAGAGGAAGGCGAGGGGAGGAGGAAGAAGACAGTTGCCATGGTTTTGAGTTGGAACGTGGGATGAGCTGATTTTGAAGCAGTGATACTACATATAAGCTTGGCGTGCCTTTGAAGTAGTGCCACAAATGTACCTTGACTAGTAAAAAAACTCCTTTGTTCAAAAAATCGAACGTCACGGTCAAATTTGTTTGATTAAAAGCTGTAATTGTCGGCCTTCATCGATGACCTACGTGCATGTTTATGTCTCTAGCGAGGTAAGTGACATAAATTTTGCAACGGAGAATTATTGCAGGAAGTTTATGTCGGTGGATGGAAACCAATAGGTCAAGTCAAGTTTTGAATATTAGCGTTGAACATGAATCTAGCAGTGCGTACCCTTTTAATTGATAAATAAATTAGACTTGCATGCAATAATATAAGAAGATTTTATATAAACTAGGCAACATTAGGCATCTTCATGCCTAAATTCCGAATGTTGTGACAAACACAAGTAGTCGAGAATTTTTAAAATAATACTTTTAAAAGAATAATTGTACATGTAACACCCTGTCGGCTCTTGTTTGGCTGAGAGGACACCTATCGGCCGTCCTACAGCAGCCCTACCGGCCACGCCAGAGTCTGAAGCCGTTGTGAAAGAATTAGAGGCTGTTCGGCTGGCTTATTGCCTGCTGGCTGGTTGGCTTATTCTCTCACGAAATCACTATTCACGTCCTGCCAGAATAGTATTTTTCTCTCACAACAATCAGCCGGAACAGTATTTTTCAGTCCTGCCGAACAGGCCCTTAAGCTGCAGCTGGTGATCTGCTAGAACCGGCCAGGCCAGATTCTGAAAACTAGCCAGGTCGGTTTTCCCTATGTGCTGGTGGCTGACCAAGCAGAGCCGGCTAGGTCGGTTTTCGAAGCCGGTCAAGCCGGTTTACGCTGAATCAGCTTGAATTTTACCATGAGTATTTTTTTGGATCCATTTAGGTGATTGGAGGGCTCCCATTATAAAATATCTATGCGATCCAAGTGTTAAACTTGAAAAAAGTATTCGGCGGAGAGCGTTCAAATTTATATTGTACAAAGATGAGATCTACTGTAGAACTACCGAAGACTTGATGCTTAAGTTCTCTGATGTTAATCAAGAAAAAGTGGCTGGGAGAAGTTCGTGAGCATCTGTGGCATGCATCATCAATTGGCTCCGAAGATGAAGTGAATATTATGATATGCAGTGGCTGGTCCAGTGGATAGTCCTAGTAGGTCCACAACTACTTTGGAATCTGGCCCAAGAGAAATTTACTACTCCGCAGGCCACAAGAAATTTGGCCCAAACAGGCACCGCACCGTTCACTCGTCCGCGGTCCACCCAGGCATCAGCAAGCCAGCAACCGAGCCAATACGACTGCGAGTCTGCGATCACCAACTGGAATCTGCGCGGAAGCCGCGACTCCGGACCGGCGACCGCCGCCCCGGCCCTTGGCCGAGCCCCGAGGTCGAGCAGCGCGGACCGCCGGCCGCCTCCCACCGGCTGCCCGCCCCCTGTCGCCGCGTGCCCACCTCGCCAGTCCGTCGGCGGCGAGCGCGCCAAGAGCTAGCCGTGCCAGCCGGCGGCCGCCCAGTGCCCCAGTCCGCCGTGCGCTCTGGGCTCTGGCCCCTGCTGGCCTGCTCCTGTCGCTGGTGAGTGCTTGTGTTTACTTCTGAAAGCCTGAAACTGGCTTCGCTTTGGTGTTTCTGAAGATAATTTGTTCGTTATGGTACAGTAACGTATCTGCAAAGTCAGAGCTGCCCCATCTGGCTTGCAAGCTAAGGTTTATAAATTTTTGGAGAAGTCCGTGTGCTGCTGCAAGCTAAGGTTTGTGGAACACAGGAAAGTGATCGACTTTCAGCGGCAAGATGGATAACCTATTGTTAAAATTTGCTCTATGATTTCCATCTTCCATATTGCTAACCATTCTGATAAATCAATCAGTTTGTTCCAATCGCCGGCAATGAACTGCATCCTACAATTAAACCTGCTAATGGTCCGTGATCCAGACCATAACCGAACCAAACTAATTACGTCTACCTTCAATCTACCTTCAAATCCCCAATCCACTCCACCCCACTCATTCTCCCTTCAAAACCAAAACCACTGATAGATTGGTCAGTGATGGATGACGAGCGGCGGCCGGGTCTTGCTCTTGCCGTGACCTCGGCCTTGGGCACGGGGTACGTCACCCAGTCTCTGTACTCGACGATGGCCATGGCGTCGAGATCCACCACCATGGTGACGCTCTCAATCGAAGTTGGCCGTGGACCCGTCCACGAAGCACAGCATGTTGGTCACCCGCTTGGGTGTCCCGGCGGCGCTGCCGAACCAGCCGATGGGAACACCACGCAGAGGCCCGCGGCGCCTCACGGAGTCGACAAATAGCGGGTCCGTCGGCGGCAGCGCCACCGCCACGAACTGCTCCTCGAGCGTGAGCGTCGAGAAGCCCGCGCCGCGGTGGACGGCGTGGGAGAGGACGGTGGCTGACGTGCCGTTGCTAGCAACGCTCACGCGGAGCTCGTGGGACGGCACGCCAGCGCAGGCGATCGCGAGAGCGCACCGCGGCAGGAGCTGACGAGAGGACGAGCCCCCGGTGCCGGTGCCCGCCGTATGCGTTCGGCCTTGTCGAGGCCGACGTAGTGGATGGTGAGCGGGCGAGCGGGGACGAGAGCGAGTAAGGCGGGCATCAGGGTGCGGACCCCCGTACTGTGGCCGGTCGCCGCCGCAGTCGATGGGGACGACCGATGGCGAGTCGAAGAGACGAAGACCGGGTTGGGCTGCATCGAGGCTAGTTGGTACTTGGGTTCAATCCACTGGTTGCATCCACGGTTTCAACCAATACAAAACCGAACTACTCAGGCCCCAAATTGATCCAAGCCAATCCACCTAGCATGTGTTTGGTTCTAGGTTGAACTGGAATGGGTTGGCTCCAACCCTGATTTATGGGATAGGTTCAACCCAGTTTTTGTTTGGTTAGAAGGGTGGGTTCATTCCAGTTTTTTGTTTGGTTCATGGGATGAAGTGGAATGGATTGAACCCAATCTCTTGTTTGGATGGAGGGATGAGGATTGAATATGAATATGGTCACCTGCTCTATTTAAACATGGTTAAGTTACCCCAACTTTTGACACTTCCTTTATATATGCAATGTATTATGCAGCACACACATAAGATTAAAGGCTAAATAATAAAAAGTTCAAAGCCTTACAATATATACAATATAGAAGGTTCAAGGCTTTAGACAATACATAAGTCTTAGCCTAATAATAAGTTCAAAGCCTTACAATATAGCAGGTTCAAGGCTTTAGACAATACATAAGTCTTAGCCTAATAATAAATTCAAAGCCTTACAATATAGCAGGTTCAAGGCTTTACACAATACATGAGTCTTAGCCTAACATGACATAAATCCCAAGTCTTGCACAATATAAATTACAGACTTACACCTAACACAAAGTCTAGCATTAGCAGTGCTTACACCACAGTTCTAAGTTCAACGTGGTACTAGCAAAAGAGAGAACCAACTCATCCACGACATCACCACATCATCCTTGCTGTCCTGGA